TCTAGTATAACATTACTTAACAAAAAAAAATTGCCCGCAGCTTCCCTCGGGGGAACACTGAGGAGGATGCGGACCATATAATTGGTTAACGGGGTGTTAAAGTGCGACTTACTTGGGTCGATGGCTAAATTGGTTAACGTGGTTGTGAAATGGGGTGTTAAATTGCGACTTACTTGGGTCGATGGCTAAATTGGTTAACGTGGTTGTAGGAGGGGGTGTTAAATGAGTGAACACGTACACACGTATGCGAAAGGGCGGCGCTGGTCGAAGGGACGTCGATCATTGTGTTTGTGGATTCGTTGGAATTCATTTCACCGCGACCTTGGACGTCGACGCGCCGTACAAACCAACCGACGAGCGGCAACTGAGCGAGCGAGCGCCGACCTTGAGTATATATACAGCACGACGGCGCATGCACTGTCAGCTGTTGAATGTTCTCGAAGCGCGACGCCACATGCGCGTCCACTGGAGAATCAGGAGAATTGTAGATGTCGAACGCGGTGTGTAGAGGAGGAAGGGTGCACAGATGGTGGAGGAGTGAAGCGCGCGCGGTGTGTAGAGGAGGAAGGGATGCACAGATGGTGGAAGAGTGGGCGACGGCGCGACGGCGCATGCGCGCGCGTCAGCTGTCGAATGTTCGAGAAGCGGTGTGGACGGCGCGGACGACGCGGACGGCGCACTACAAGGCGCGAGTATAAGATGCTCCGCATCTAAAAATGAAGTGTCATTACTATGACGTGATTACAAAGACAACACGCCAGCTTGAACTCGAAGCTGCTAGCGTTAAATGTGCGGCAAGCTGCACTCGTGCACAGCGGCGCTTGTAGTATATAGAATGCCAGAAAGCGAGATCACATTTCAAGGGGCAGCGTTTTCTCGAGATTTGGAACACTGGCGCGTCATGGGCTCTGAAATCGAACACTTGCAAAGCACGAACGTAGGCAATGAAATAGAATCGCGAGCTGTATGATTCATACAGCCCGGCGTCAACAACAAGCAGCGAAGTCTTGTGATCTGGATAGCTACTTCTGCCGTTCCACGGCAACGTCCATACTGAAGCAAAAAGCAACACACTAGTTGATATAGCTACATCAGCATATTTGACGTCATAGTTGAAGTTAGCGGAACATTTGGGTTGCACAAAAATCAGTATATATATATATATATAATATATATATATATATATATATATATATATATATATATATATATATATATATATATATATATATATATATATATATATATATATATATATATATATATATATATATATATATACGCGCGCGCGCTGGGCGGTGAACAAGCGCCGCCACGTGACGGGTGCGAGAGGCGTATACCCTTGCCTACGAGATTACGCACGCAACTCGCACAGAATCTCAGAGGCCATGAACACCCTCCGTGTGGTGTTGGCAGCCTTGGTACAGTGGTCTCTGCTTCTGGCTCTGCCTTCGATATACGATCTGTAGTGACTATGGCGGCAAGTTTTTCACTTGCGAAACATGCGACGCTGCTCAGGCGAAACATACATAGCGTCACGGCCACTGCACTCAAGCTTGAGGAGAGTTGTTTGTGCCGACCTTGCCGTTGCGTTCACGTTTTGCTCCCATATGCGCGCGATTGCGTTCGCGCGTTTAATTACTTGCCGTGGCTGTCTCGTTTCGGCCGAGCTCGACATAGAAGAAGGGTGAATATGGCGTGTACTTTCTGGGGAAGTCCACAAGGTGGGGCAAAGTTAGTAAACTGAAAAAAACTGCCGTAGCCTACAAATCGGCACTGAAAATCCGTACGAAGTCATAAGCACGAAAGTATATTCCTGATTGCCGAAAGAAATCGTCATAATTCTGAACTGGAGAGAGCTCTTTTCCAACACGCAGCTTTCTTTCTGGGATAACCATGTATATGAACTTTCATAGGCGTGCGCGCAGGGTAGAGGAGAAGGGGAGCTCTAGTAAGCGTAGAGGGGGTGGCAAAGTCAGCCCTGTACCGCACATGGCGAGGGGGGGGGGGGTGCAAAGTCAACCCCATACATGGACATAATAGGGAGGAGGGCGCTGCAAAAAACCTTCGCCTCCTCCCTCCCTCCCCCTTTGAAGGGAACCCTGCGCACACTTATGTGTACTTCTCTCGTGGTACTAACGAGTGGATGACAGATTAACTAGGTGTATTATGTGCGCCTAACAACAGGCACTCAAGTCGGCTTAGGTCGTGAATTCAATAACGACTGTCTATCTTTAAAGGCAGGCTAAAAGAATGAACAAATGTGATATTGTTTGTATCATTATTATTGCTGTTTCACAATACCAATTTTTCACAAATTTCTAATTTCAATACCAATTTCTCGTAAGCGAGAAAACACGCTAAAAAAAGTTTAGGGTGGTGACGCCATGTGCATCGTAGAATTTCCGCATCAATCACTGTGATGCCATTGAATTTGACGGCGCCTACTACCTTCTACGTAGTTGCTGATCGGTGAATTTGAAATACAATGTCTTCTGAAGGAGCCCAAGACTTCATATGGCAAGTTCCAGAAACTTTCGTTTAACCAGTGCTTCCCTATACACCTTGAAATCCGTGACGTAAAGCGATAGAATTTCGGTGAAGAAATTTAGAAATAAAACTTCTCGATTTTATTCTGTAATATTCATGGTGAAAATAACGTCATTAAAATGTTCAAAACACACTAAACTAATATAAAGCAATTCATTTTTTTTTTGCTCTTTGATCCTTTAAGAAAATTTCACGCCTCTTATATCGAACAACACATGTTTGTTTGCGTTTTACCTTAGATACAGTGTAATATCAAACCACGTCAAAAGTTCTACGGAATAGATGGCAGCCAGGTCTAACTTCGTTAAAGAGCTGCTCTGGAAATGAACTACTGAGCTTAATGAATATGTAACCCTGTTGCGAGATTCAACACTAAAACTAGGTGGCGTGTGCGTGTCATTGAGAGCTTTCGAGTGACTCCTTCACATTGACAATGACGTAATATCCCTCGCTTTTTACATGTGCGGTCAACACACATCCTTCGCTAGAATCACTGATGCAGCAAACTTAAGTTCGTTCTCGTGAGTTTTCATACAAAGTGACTCAACACGTTTACCCTGGTTGCACTCGAGCAGATGAAGGCTAGTAATTTGAGGATGCTGGAATCATTCATGCAAATGAAGTTAGAGAAACGTACTGACCCATATTTTTGTCCTTTGTCTAGGGCTTAAAGTCTCCCATCATCGTAGGGGAGGGAGGCGGGGGGGGGGGGGGGCATAAGTGATGGCGACATATATATTCAGATCACTACAGTTCACCGATGCCCAAAAATGAACACCGGCGCTTTTAAAATGGGTCCAGCAGTACTGATGTTTACCTGCTAAGGTGTAACGTGCACACAAATCTGAGCGCGCGGGCCTACAGCACTTTCGCCTCCATCGAAAATACAGCCGCCGCAGCCGGGATTCGATCCCGCGACCTGCAGGTCAACAGCCGAGAGCCTTAGCCATTGGACCACCGCGGCGGGGCTTTCCGGAGCCCTCCACTACGGCGTCTCTCATAATCATATGGTGGATCTGGGACGTTAAACCCCAATAAATATTATGATGCATCCGGGAGTTTGCGCAGCTTATATACTGAGACTGTGCGATGGGGATCAAAAGTGCAAATGGTTCGAAACCTTTAATAGGAGCCTCCTTATGATCAATGCATTGAATACTGCAATGAATGTAAAGACTGGGAGAGCTCCACATACAACACATTTACTCGTTTATCTAATATGCAAGGTACTTTGAGCACAGCGACGCACCAGGAAAAAAATATTCACAGAGTCTCTAGTGCATTGCCATAAAACGACTAGAATATAATAACCATCATCAGCATCTTCTGTTTTGTTTTACAGTGAAAGCCGTTATGAGATCACTTTTCGAATCACGCACAGTTGTTGTTGTCCGCCGCCTTTGTCGCCGGTGTCCGTAACCACATCGCGCGAAATTAGAAAAAAAAAGCCTAGCAATAATGACACAGTGGGGCTTGAACCCGGGTGCGCTGAGTGCCAGCCCTATATCGACCAGTGAGTTACGCCGATGCTTGTATCTTGTTGGCAAACTTACCTTAGGCAGGGATGATCTAGCGCCTACGGCACAGTGGGGCTCGAACCCGGGTCCACTGGGTGCCAGCCCGGTATTCTATCACTGAGCTACACCGGTGCTTGTGAATTACTGTCAAACTTGCCTTAGGCAGGCTTGATGTCGGGAATGCAATCGCGTTAATACGACTTATAGAGTGTTTTACAACAGCGAAAGAAGAACCAGTCGTCGCACAATACGATTAGCGTAACGAGTGGGCCGTCCAATGCTCCAAACCATCACAAAAGTTTGCTTTTGTTCCCCTATTAACTGTGCCGCATACCCACTTCAGCCGCAATTCATCATCGTCGTCAGCCACTGCATGCGAACAATTGGCAAGTGTTTAGCGGATACAACGCTCCTCAGAAGAATAACGAAAAATAGCATAGCGAATGCCGACCTGCTACCCAAAAGTTTATTATTAATGCCCTAGCGGGTACCAAGCAAGTGTGCTTGCAGTAGTTACCCAACGAGTGTTTCGAAAAAGCTCTGAAAGGCCGCACTTCTAGCTTTCGCTGTGACTGTGCTGCGCCTACCGCGCAGGCCTGGCGTTTTTTTTTTTTTTTTTCTCAATCAATGTATTGGTTTTCTTTCGCGCCCCCTCTGAAAGCTTTCCGCCTCTTACCTGGTCTCGCACTTCCTTCGTTGTCGGCCAACATTTCACTAAGCGATAATGTCGAGTGATGACGTAATAATGTGACGTCATCGCGCGATTATCTATTTGTGTCACTTGTGTTGATGCCACTTCGTGGGATGCCAACAGGCAATTCTTGCTGTTAATGAAGTGCCTACGGCTTTCGCTTTAGAATGAAAAAGCTCGTTGGTACGAAATGGTTGTGCGTCAAAGTTTGTGCAGACTGAATGTAATTTCACACTAGAACATAACTGTGGCTGATTTTATGTCAGGCACCAGTCAAGTACAAGTAAATGTCGCTCTGTATACGCCAGAAGTGCAGGACAGTCGAAATAACCGTAAAACACATGTTGCGAGGTGGTTTGCACACATCAGTTCTCTGTAGTGTGGCTACGTCTTGCATCTCTGGTGTGGCCTGGAGACTCCAGAGCCGCATAGTGTTTCGGTCAATCGGCCATGGACGCCGTGTTCGAAGAGGTGACTCAGTATGTCGTCCTAGCGGTTAAGTCAACGCCGAACCGCTTTCTTTCTCGTCTCCCGGAGGTAGGAGATTGACGAAGTAAGCCAAGGTCTTGCTGTTGATCCAACTGTAAGAGTTGTCGAACTCCAGAATGTCTGCAAAGAGGTGGACAGCAACACGCTCACTTAGGCACCAAGGTGAGGTTGCACATTATAGTTTTCAACCACATGAATTTAATACACGATTCAAAATACGGCAATATACCAATCGCCCAAGTGAACACGCTTCATCACTGTGTCTTAAAACTGTCCGGAACATTTAAGTTTTTACTGACTTATGAAATATTTTTGCTCTGCGCTTTCTAGGAATACCCACTTCATTTTCACCATCTAAATGAAATCTACATTACATTGCTTAAGCGACACCTTTTTATATTTTTATTTTCGAAATATTTTCTTGATCGATGGTATGGTACGATAAACGTTATTTAGGCCCTGAAGATCAACGATTAGGTTGACACAGGCGGGCCCCACGTTGGAACAGTAAGGTTTAACCTTACTGCCGTATCATGGGTCTTCTGGACGGGCTGTACTTGATCTAAAAGATCTCCACTGTAAAGGACTCTTTGCCACCAGTCACTTTTTTGTCACAGTATGTGAAGGCCACAGGACACTGTGAAAACGTATGATCCTGAGTAGTGATGCTATTACACTTCTCGCTATGAAGTTAGACTTTTCTTTCTGGATGTAACTTGTTATTAAAGTTTCGATTCGGTAAGTTCTTGTTTGTAACAATCGCGATGTCACCGCTTGAGATTGTTGAGCTTAGCGTGTGGCCCGGGGAATTCCCTTCTATTCATGTAGCAATGCTTTGTTATTTCACTGTATTTGTAAGCAATCGGTCCCTGTTTGCTCTGACATTTTATTGGGAACCTGGTCACGTAGTGCACGGATAGCAAGCCCTGGTGAAGCTGCGTTAGACACCTCGATTAAAATCGTCCGAGATGAATCGACAGACCCCATGTGTGCAGCAAACCAGCGGATTTGGATGTTTTGGTAAGAGTTATTTTTTTCATGCATAACTGGTCAGAGAATTGCGTGTAAGAGAGCTTACCGCTCCTTACGCGCAGTCTTCCTTATCGCAGGCATCAATACTCCTTTAGGGGTGAGGCTCCTTATGACGTGGGTCTGTCGCTCCTCCTCCTCCTCCTCCGTATGTATGTATGTATGTATGTATGCATGTATGTATGTATGTATGTATGTATGTATGTATGTATGTATGTATGTATGTATGTATGTATGTATGTATGTATGTATGTATGTATGTAGCCACTGGTGGCATATATACAGGGGTTGCGAGATGGGAGATGGCGGTACTAGGAGTGTTCACTGGGTGGACGCACGGATGGACGGACTCATGGACAGACGGACGGACGCATGGATTGACGCACGGGTGGTCGCGCGGACGGACGGAAGCACGGACACTTCGCCCCACTCATCATCATTCACTCCTTGGATATGCTGTGATTTTTTAGTGTCAGTCGGGTTAAGCAATCGCTTGTATGCACCCTTACAGTACCTTCTACGCTCACTTTTTTTTTCTTTTAGTCCCTTCATCCATTTCGACCTCCCTATCTTTCCTTCTTTTTATTTTTTTCCCACGTCCTCTTCCGGTAGCGCAGCAAGGATTGTTTTTCTTAATTTTTTTTTCGGGGGAGGTGGGCAGAAGGCAATAGGGTTCAATCATACTTGTTGCACGTTCGTAGATGCACTTGTATATATGTGTGGTTGTAGATATATATGCGCCAAATCGAATATTTAGCGAACAAGGACGTTGAACCCGCTTCCTCTCTCCAGCTACCCTTGTGTCAGTGTCCTATTTATTTCATCTGCACGACTTCGTTTAAATGGTGGCAGCCAACTTGTAAGGTAGTAAGCAACCTTTCATCAACTCACATGTCCCGGGTTTCTCGCACACGAGGCAACCGCGCTCGGGCACCAGGCAGCACGATGGCAACCTCTGTTGCTCAATCAGGTACTCGCTGACCGAGCTACCAGGAGGCTCGTAGCGTACGCCGAAAGACAGGTCCCCCGTGGCCGTCTGGAAGCTCCAAGACAGCTGCTCGCCGGGCCGGGCCACGCGCATGGGCAACTCCCATCGCGAACGACGCTCGATGCGTTGCACCGAGACTCCCGCCTCCCGGGATAACCTTCGCTTGGCCAGTTCTTCCCTGACCGAGGCTGGAACATCACCGCCCGGACAGATCTGCGGAGGAAACACGCATGAAGTCAGTCACGAGCATCCTTAACTCTAGTACAAACTGTTCTTCTATACTCGGGGACAAATTTCTGCGGTAATGAAGGGAAGGCTACGGAGCCAAAGTTGGTGTGTGCAACCGCTCTAGAATATAGTGCCACAAATGCGTCCCTGTTTTTCGCGTGAAAATAATAAAAAAAGACCAACATAACTTTCTACTGGGTGCTGTTTATAAAGAGGCGCTGCGTCCACCGAGGAGATATTCTTATCTGTTGTTGCTTTCTGAGGAGTCGCTTCGCGTTTTCACGCGTCTAAAAAAAAAATCGCACGTTTTACGTGCACTTCACAGTCATGATGGCGTCTTTGTCTTTCGGTGACCGCGGGTCTCCCTCCAGCTATTGCGACGACTCGCCGAAGGAGGTTGTGTCGAATTTCACTCACAAACAGCTGTGTAAGCGGACGTGTCGAATTGTGTGCAGTGGGATCGCCTGACTGGACCCGGCCATCCTTTGAAACGCGAGCCTAATCAGACTACCTCGCGGAGGAGTACAGGAGAAGTAGCTCCGCCCCTGTAGCTTTCTCTTCATTTCTACAGAACGTTGTCTCCGAGTATATAGGACTGTCTTAAAAAAAATTGTGAAAAAAAATGGAGAATTGTTGGCTTGAGATCTAACGAGAACAATGCTGCATTTTTGGCTGCATTTATGCGAACGTTAAAACGGCCCAGCTGTCCCGTTAGATTGCTACCAAGCAGTGCTTCATTTAGAAGGTTGGTATCTGAGGTTTCAAGTTCAAAAACTACCATTCAAAAGGTCACGCTGAAAACTCTTTGTTATACTTTTAAATAAAAAAAGAGATAGTTTGCTGGAATGCAAAGAACACCCTGGTCTAAAAAACGAAAACAGGCAGGGACGCTACTGGTGGCCTTGCCATTCCAAGAAAGATGCCATTGAAATTCATGAGCATCATAATTTTATGGCCAAGCAATGTCTCTCCATCGCAGAAGCATTCTAGAATGCGCGAATATCACTTGTGGTGGTAGCGTTTTAGGCATCGAGATTCTACGCAGGTACCTTCATAGACAATGCTCGCGTGTCTTAAGCGTACATCATTTTGTTTTTTAGCCTCACAGCTTCCTCAATGCTTCCGGAAACAAACATACAGAGGCGAAAGTGCGGATTTTGACAGAGCTAACTGTACACAAAATGACATCCAAGGTGGCGTTAGTACATGGCCCATATTGAACGTGACAAAAGAGGTTCGCAATTCTTCCGTTAATGAGTTCCACTCACTATGTGAGGACATCGAGGGTCTCCGTCTGGTCCCACCATGTTCCCGCCCCAGTGCTGTGGCACGAAGTCTGGGTCAAATCGTTCCATCAGGCCATTTTTCCAGTCGTCTGCATTGAACGGGTGCTAATCAATCTATTGATTATCGATTGTAGCGTCGACAAGAAAGCTACGAGCAAATCGGTTTTCTGGTTAAACCACAGGGTATAACCGGATCCCTGAAACCCTGGCACAAGGTGTGGAGCTCTGTGTCAAGATCATGCGATTTCCACAGTTGTTAATGAAAGTTCATTCAAGATTATCTGCTTGAATACACTAGTAGTCACTACGGCTGCGCCACCTATTAACAGCCATGGCACTGTGTTCTTTCGCTTCAGTTAGTGAAAGCAGCGTTGTTTCCGCAGGTGTTTCAACGCCGGACGCTCACCTGTACCATAGATGGCCACCTTGTCTACCGTGCGCTGAGTTAGGAATGGCCGTATGAACTTCCACAGCAGCGGGAAGAAGCGTGGCGCTGCGAAGGTGAAATGCAAACAGTCAATTGGGAGTATGCTGCACCATGCATGTATACATGGACCTTGTCGGCAAAGCAGCTTTGTCAATGTTCATGAAGTGCGATGACACAAATTTGCCACGTGGACTACCGGTAGTAACATTACAGATTTGATTGATATGTGGGGTTTAACATTACAGATTTCTGAGCATAACTCTGTCGACTATGTCTTTCACACGATTGATGATCGATATGTAGGGTTTAACGTCCCAAAACCACCATATGATTATGAGAGACGCTGTAGTGAAGGTCTCTGGAAATTTCGACCACCTGGGGTTCTTTAACGTGCACCCAAGTCTGAGCACACGGGCCTACAGCATTTTCGCCTCGACCGAAAATGCATCCGCCGCAGCCGGGATTTGATCTCGTGACCTGCGGGTCAGCAGCCGATTACCTTAGCCATTATACATAGACCAACGTGGCGGGGTTTTCACGCAATTCACAAGGTGTAGAAGTAATCAAAAGTGAAGGAGCACGCCGAGCTGTGGCAATAGATTTCTATGGCCACAGTAACAGTCCGCGAGTCACTTGTAGCTTCCTCTTATATTTGTTACAAAGACAGCAAGAGGAGTCCTGTTTATTAAATAGTGATATGACTAATAACTAATGATATCAAAGTAATAAATTTGTCCTCACTTTTTATTAGACTGTTCAGTATGATAATTTCGGCGCATTCCGAACAGGACAGTACTTTCATGGCAGCATGTACTGGTCCCTATAGCAAACTACGATTAGTAAACATTTTCAATTCGCTTGTCCTTAACAGAGCCTTGCAGACAATGGCGTTTTTGTGCATAGTTTGTAGATTGTTTAAGTTGCGAGCGCTACGCTGCTATACTACGTCAAAACACGATTTATGTGGTAGAAGCGTGGGATGAAAGGACGGGAGACCCACCGTTGATGACGTAAGCTTTTTCGAGGATCTCCGGGTAGTTGTCCTCGTATGCCTTGAGCAAATCCGTCAGCAAGGTGATGACTGCAATGCAGAAGATGCTTAACCATTTTGATGGCTGAATCTACATAAACGCCGTAAAAAGCTCGTTCGCTCGAACTTTACAGGACCGGAAGAATTGTCCGAGTTAAAAGAAGGCTGAGTAATTGAAAGCTTTACAAAAGCTTTAAACAAGTGCCTGTTAAATCAATCGATTTTTATTTTCTTTATTTAGTACTTATGTTGTATGAGAGCAGTGTAAAACGTATAATTTTCGTCATTCCTGACTTTGTTCCTAATGTGACCTCCGGCTCATGAGCATCCCGAGTCTCATTGCGTACAACCACAACGAACACCAACACGTGCCCATGACAGTAATTCCTTCGAAATAAAAAAGAAAACAAAAACACGACTGACCACTCATCGTTAACGCATCATAATGTAGCAAGCAAGTTTCATGCGAGCATGCGGACTGCGGCTGAAGCTCTTCATCTTCACCAGCTTCCACCTGCTTTGTGATGATTGCGCGCGCATTACCTAAAGTCAAAATGAATCTATGGAGTGCCACATCCGCTGTCAACGAAACTGCGCTCACTAACGACACCATCACAGCATCCAAGCAGTTTCGAAGGTAAACGTGTTGCCTACGCCCAGGGTCGAAACCAAACCACTGAGCACTGCATCTGCTGTTCAGTGAGCCTGGCTCGCTGATGCGCGATCATAAAAGGCGAATACATGGCTCTGAAGGCACGCGGTGAAAACGAAAGCTTAAGAAGTTTCCCGCAGCCCCTGACGTCTTTGCCGCCAGCAACGTCATTGTTTTAAGACTGCAGATGGCGAACACGCCTATCGCGAAGACCCACGGCCGTTTGGGTTGTTCTCAAACGACGTTTTCGCTCCTTCGCCTCGCCCGTTGACGGCACTCAATTCTTGGCGTGATCTGTAGGTCATCCGTATAACCCAGGTTGTGGCCAAACGGGACTGAATAAACGAGAGTTTGATGCCATTAAACAATGCACATGCTTGCCGGGACCTGAAAAAAAACGTCAAAGGGATACAGTTTGTCGAATTAACGTGAGTCAAATTGACTAGCTTTTACTGTATAAACATTAGCGTTCTTTTAGCACTAGTACTGAATTAGAGACACGGTCATTCTCCGCTCCTGATTTGAAACGGAACCTTGGTGCGGCAAGATTCTTTATTCGTCGAGTTCTCTTCACTGAATTGTGAAAATGTTTCAGACAAAAAAAAAAGAATAGAACACGAATAACTTCAAGCCATTGTGAAACAATCTATACCTTCAACTCTTGACAGATGGCTTCTTTTTTTTTTTTGCGGGTTGTGTATACAGCAACGACGAGTTTTCTTCGCCGCATTTCGTGCCAATCTATTCTTTCATCTGCTCGTTCGAGGTAAACGATCTGGCACAACAGAGTGAGGAGACTTCGGGCGACCCTACCTTGCCAGGAGTAGATCTGGCGCATCGTGAAGTTCTCAAAGTCGGCGATGAAGAAGACCGTCTCGATCACCTTGTCCCTCTGAAAAGTACAAACAGTTACAAGGAAGATCAGTATAGTGAGCACGACACTCTTCCACCACTCTTATAGCTTCCCTGCGTTTGTCCTGGCTCTCATGTTTGCTTCCTTGGATGCGCTCGAAAAACTCAAGTTACTTTAAAGGCAGAGGTAAATAATGGAATCGCTTTACCTTTGCTTTAGAGTAATCGTAGTGACGATCTCTTCGGAGTCGCTGTGGTAAACAGTGATTGGCTACGCAACCATTTTCATCAAGACAAATTTGTTCCTTTTATAGAGAATTTTGATGACGCTGTCCGTCTGCTGTCTTTAATTTCAGTGCTAAAGCTATTGATGGTCTTACAATGAACTGAATGAGTTGCTAGATGTGCCTCCCTTTGAAATATGAAGGCAGAAAACACACACGAGAAAAAGTAAGGGCTGTCTGACGTCATTCAAAGCTCTCATGTGAAGTGCAAATCAGCTGGAACCTATTCTTTACCGGGAACGTGTGGGAAAATGTTCCCATTGTTTTCAGCTTCTTTACTGCCTTGTTTTGTGGTTCTTTACTGAAACCAATACGGAGTTCTATGTTGGATGCCTCACTGCAAAGAAAGATGTGCCATTTCCCTTCAAGAGTTTTAAGCGCCCATAAACCACCCAGAGGTCGAAATTTGGTTGTGGCGTTGCAGTTGTGCGCGAGTCTACAGCAAACTTGTTCGTAGGCTCGTCCGTCTATACCTCTCCGAATGCCTTTCCTCAAAGCCCCAGGTGAAAACACAGAAATTTGCTAGCAGAAGAGCACCCCCAGCGTCTTTTGGTGCATTAGGGGTCCTTTAACCTGGTGTTTTGTGTTTACACTACAAAATTGTCCAAACAATCGAGAGGTATCGGTAATCTTTAGGGGATCGGCGAGATGAGTAGTGGATGTTGTGACACATGCGTGTTATACGAGTTTCGTGTTTATGCCACAAAATTGAGGAGCCATTTTATTCAGTGAAGGCGGATGCAGAGCGAAGCTGTTCAGCGCAGGACACTGAGATGGCGTAGAATTTCGAACCATAGGCCGATCACGCACCCTTCAACGAAATTCAAAAATTTCTGTTCAGAAAGTTCATTTTGAGTTTCTCGTATGCTCTTTGAAAGCTTTCCATTTGAAATAAATGCAGCGAGCGAGTCTACCGCAATCATACTTGCATCTTCTTGCGGCATTGTTCGCTCCGCAACACGCGTCATTTTCTCGGGTTTTCCGCGCACCCTTTCCCTTTTGTGCGCTATCTTATTTGGTGTTCGCCACTCGTGTGTTCCCCTCTTGATTCTTTTTCTGTGAACCGGTGGTGAGTAGCGGAAGTTTCACCAAGTAGTGCGGTACGTACGTTTTTGTTGGTGCACAGGTATAAGTAACAGAAGCCTAGCCGTATACGGCACCTCTGGAAAGCGATTTGTTGTTCCTTAATGCAAAAACCAGAACTCACCTGCTTCGAAGCACGCCTGAGACGATCCATGATACCCTCGAGTAAATACAGGGCATGACGCTTGACGTCATCCGCCGACACCAACTCCAGAAAGCCTGCAAGTGGTAGCAGTTGCTGTTGTAGTAACAAGGTGGGGCACCATATAGTAGTAGTAGCAGTAGTATAGGGGAAAATAAGAGAAGAATGAATCACCATAATAATAGTAAGTAGTAGCGAGTTGTAGAAGTATAAGTGGTAGTGGTATTATTAATATTTATTGTAGTACTAGTAGTAGTAGTAGTAATAGTAGTAGTAGCAGCAGCAGCAGCAAAGAGGAGGAGGAGGTGTGGTATTTGTAGTTAGAGTAGAGTGTTGTAGAAGGTGCAATAGTGGTTGTATTGGTATTGATAGTAGTAGTAGTAGTAGTAGTAGGAGGAGGAGGAGGAGGAGGAGGAGTCGTGGTATTAGTAGCAAGGAGTAGCTAATTACAGGAGGAGCACTGGTAGTAGTAATAGTATTGGTATTGATTTAAGTAGTGGTAGTAAGATGAGGAAGAGGAGAAAGAGCAGAAGCATTATAAGTAAGAAGCAGTAGCGAATTGTAGTAGCAGTAGTAGTAGTATTGATTGTAGTAGTGGTAGTAGAAGAATGATGAGAAAGAGGAGGAGTCGCAGTATTAGTAGTAAGTAGTATCGAATCAATTGGTATTGAATGAAGTAGTGGTCGCAGGAGGAGTAGAAAGAGGAGGAGTAATGGTATTAGTAGGAAGTAGTAGCAAATTGTAGTAGTAGTAGTAGTAGTAGTACTGATTGTAGTAGTGGTAGGAGGAGGTGGATGAGAAAGAGAGGAGGAGTCGGGGTATTAGTAGTAAGTAGTGGCGATTCAATTGGTAATTATTGCAGTAGTGGTAGTAGCAGGATCAGGAGCTATAGAAGGAGTAATGGTATTAGTAGGAAGTAGAAGCAAATTGTAGTAGTAGTAGTAGTAGTAGTAGTAGTAGTAGTAGTAGTAGTAGCAGCAGGAGGAAGAGGAGGAGGATTAATTGTAATAGTGTTAGTAGGAGGAGGATGAAAAAGAGAGGAGGATTCGCGCTTTTAGAAGTATGTAGTAGCGAATCAACTGGTACTGATTGCAGTAATGGTAGTAGCAGGAGGAGGAGGAAAAGGGGGAGTTACGGTATTAGTAGTAAATAGTGGCGAGTTGTAAAAGTAGTAGTGGTAGTGATTGCAGTAGTAGTAACGAAGCAGTTGTCGCAATTTGTTCGTCATTAAAAACAAATAAAGTTGATTGATTGATTGATTGATTGATTGATTGATTGATTGATTGATTTGTGGGGTTTAACGTCCCAAAATCACTATTTGATTATGAGAGACACCGTAGTGGAGGGCTCCGGAAATTTTGACCACCTGGGGTTCTTTAACGTGCACCCAAATCTGAGTACACGGGCCTACAACATTTCCGCCTCCATCGGAAATGCAGCCGCCACAGCCGGGATTTGATCCCGCGACCTGCGGGTCAGCAGCCGAGTACCTTAGCCACTAGACCACCGTGGCGGGGCACAAATAAAGTTAGCCCCAGTAAAGGAACTGCAGATGCAGTTCCACAGCCTTGATTGATTGATTGATTTGTGGGGTTTAACGTCCCAAAACCACTATATGATTATGAGAGACGCCGTAGTGGAGGGCTCCGGAAATTTTGATCACCTGGGGTTCTTTAACGTGCGCCCAAATCTGAGCACACGGGCCTACAACATTTCCGCCTCCATCGGAAATGCAGCCGCCGCAGCCGGGAA